TATGTGCAGCCATCCCATTCAAAGTCTGTACCAAGTTGTTTGGTAACTGGTCAGAGTGAGCCTCATGCCCATTCTTGTTCCAAGTATCATGTGCATCTCCAGGTAATTTGGTTGCAATTTCTGTGTGGTTACCCTTGTGCGAAGTTTTAGAACAACTACTTTGGGAAGGGGAGTTAACTTCCCTGTTCAGTCCAGCAGGAGCAAGGACCATTTGAGCAGCAGGGGTCAGCAGGAACCTGGTAGAAAGTGGGCAACCTGCATATAGTCATAAAGTGGGGCCCCCAGGTGTGTAAGAGTCCCTTTATTCATCTCATGAGTATCCCTGTGACCAAATGAAATAAAAACAGACATGACCTCCCATAGATATGAAAAAGTTTGTATTTTAATCACTTTAAAAGCTTTTTGAACACAAAACAGCTATGATGTGAATCACTATGTCTTCCCCAAATTCATATAAGGGGATTCTCTAACCATCCAGGTGTTGGTATTAGGAGGTGGGTTCTTTGGGAGGTGATTAGATCATGCAGTTTCAACCCTCAGAAGTGAGATTTATTAATTCCTTGTAAATAGGATATCAGAGGGAGCCCATAAGCCTTCCACCATGCAAAGACACACCTTGAAGGTACCTTTATTGAACCAATATATAGGTCCCACTAGAAAACAAATCCACTTTGATCTTGGACTCTCCAGCCTCCAGAAGTGTGAGAAATAAGTTTCTAGTGTTTATAAACTACTCTGCCTGTGGGATTCTCTGATAGCAGCCTGAATAGCTAAGACAAGGCTCCACATTTTCATTTTTACCTGGACCCCACAAAATATAAGACTGTTGCTCCTGAGTGTGGGGTAAAGAAAGCGAGGAGAGGACAGTGGTTGTGGGTAGCTAGAGAGGAAAGAAAATTAACTAAGTAAGGAATGAGGTTCGGAGACCAAAATGTTATGATCTGATAAGAGACATGTGAACAAAGGACTAGACAAGAACAACATAGAAAGCCAAATCCACTCCTCAGAGACCATGGTAAGGCAGAACTTTATGTTAGAAGAGTGCAACAGAGGAAAACAGCTCTGGACATGGTCACCAAGAGGAAGAGAGAGAGATCCACTCATTAAGGACAAAATATATACTCCAAAGGAATGTCCCCAGGAACCTGGCTTCCCAGCCACACCCTACCAAACTATGATTATCACTCAGTTAATCACCATCAGGGGATTTTGTGGATTGGCTGAAGGTTCTCATACCCCAATCACTTCACTTCCAAACCTTATTGCATTATCTTGCACATGAGCTCTTGGGAAACACCTAATATCTAAACCATAACAAGGGGAAAAAATGAAAGAAGTAGATAATAAAAAGAAATGGAGCAGAATTCCAAGATTCCTCAACTTTCCTCCAGCAGAGTGGATACTAATCAGAGATCAGGCAGCAACTGGTGCTTGAGTTGAAATCTCACTGTGGATCTGCATCTTCCTAGTCCACTCCACCCATGAGTATGCAGTCAGCTCTGGGGGTGAAAGACAAGTTCTGAAGGAGGAGAGAAAAAAGGATGGAGACAAATGGGAGTTCTCTAGGACATGCTTAGAGCTGGTTAAGCTGAGAATGAGCAGGAGTATAGGAAAAAAGTCAAGAGACAAAATAGACAGAAGTTACCAGGACCAGAAAAAGAGAGAATATCTTTGAGAGAGAAGGTAATTACATGGATCAATAATAGTTGTGTGTTCTGTGATCAAAGGAAAAGATTAGAAAAAGCCAGGTTGAGTAAGATATATGCCAATTAGAACTCAGCCAGGCAGGCTGTCTCAGCTATCCTAGGGGAATGCAGGATTCTTCCTTTATCACAGATCTCCCCTTGGGATTTCTCTTGGAAGCATTGTTGCTTAGGCTACAAGCATGCTTGTGTTCTTCCTATCATGCCTAATTTTTGCTCCCCTCATAATTCCGCAATTTCTCCTTCCCCACACAGCTCTCCCCAGAACCCATGTGAGCTTTCCTCCCCACATGATCTCTCTATCATCTGATGTCACCCACCTCACCAACACAAACCTCAGTTTTCCTCCCTGAGAAACCCATTGTCTATTATAACTTTCTGCTTGTACTGGATTTCTCATCCCCTCCACCTGCTACACTTCCTCAAGTTTTTCTCTTGCCTTTCTGTCTTCCTTACTTGTGGCTTGTGTGTTTTTCCCCTCCAGAAAATTTCTTGCAGTAAAAGGAACTTCCAACAGAGAATCACAGTGCTCTCCTGCATGGGACACATGCATTAAATCACAAAGACCTTGTCATCATTCTGGCCTCAGGATACTTTATGTAAAATGACTAGAGAGAATTGAGTTGATTATTAGCTAGTATCTCTTATAGCTCTGATGTTCTCTGTGACTTGCTGTGCTCACATCTCTACCCATCCATGTATTCTCTTTCTCTCTCTTGCCTCTCTCTCTCTCTCTTTCCTTCTCATTTCCCACATTTTCACAGTTATTCTTTACTTAGTTTTTATCTCAGCTCCCAGGGCCTCATCTCTCTCTTCTTACTCCCTTCTATCCATTCAATCTAACCTCATTCCTTCCTCCTTGACTCCCTTTCTAATCCTAGAATATTAATTTTTCACATGACCCTTGGAATCCACTATGTAAATATAGAAAGTACAGTTATGGAGTTGTTTCTGTCAAGATAGCCCACTACATAGCTTAAAAAGACAAACCAGTGGAAAATAGGCAGAATGAAGTTATATTATAACTTTTTTTTAAATGTAAAACTGATTGTATAATGAAATAAGTGAAACCCTCTTTGGGAAAAATGCAAATAAGAAATGTAAAACTGGAGAGGCAAAATAGAATCTGACACCAGAGTACACAAGATATTGTTATTGGTATATTGATTTTCCCTAGAGGTTGGGCCATGATGTCCTCAAAGCCAAAGGCTTCCTAGAACCAAAGACTCTTTTACCTCCCACGATTAAGGTGGGAGATTTGTCCCAAGACCAGAGCCACAACCCAGATGAGAACTCTCCAGATTCCCCTACAAGGAACTAAAGTACCTGCCCATTTTGATCAGAAGGGAAACATCTGAGAGAGACAAGGCAGTTTTGTGTGCCAGCCTTTCTCCACCATTGAGCACATAAGCTGGAAAAATCGTACTCCCTCCTACATGGGGAAACCTTGGGCCATGACTAATCTGATGCAGGCATTATCCAGACCTAGGATGAGGCC